TTTGGGTTCATTTGTAATTAAGCGATACCTCATGGGCAACTTCTGTATTTAAACCGGTAAATAAATTATTGTCCTTTCCCCCAAAATGGCTTCTTTTGACTGCCATGTGTGCAAGTTTTGCAGATTGGAGCCACTGGTGCTGAATATATAGCAGATATGTTGAAATACAACAGCACGATATCAAACCTTGATCTGAGAGCAAATGGACTAAGAGATGAGGTTTGTCTTATTTGCATTCCACACCAGTCCTCCACTTTCCCCATATTTACGGTTTTCACGTTCTCCCACATATGAATCTCTTGGCAGGGTGCCATCTGCCTTGCTCGTAGCTTGAAAGTGGTCAATGAGGCTTTGACATCACTCAATCTTGGGTTTAATGAAATAAGAGTATGGAAACATATTTTCGATAAAATTGTTAACACCATGCAATTAGCTTCTTATGTAATCATATTGTATCTCTTGTATCTTTTATCTTGCAGGATGAAGGGGCTTTTGCAATTGCTCAAGCGCTCAAGGCTAATGAAGACGTTCGGCTGACATCGTTAAATCTTATGAACAACTTCCTTACCAAATTGGGACAGGTTATACGGTTCTCTATTTTTTTTCCTTTTGAACCTTTCTATTGCCATCTTAGCAATAGTAACTAATCTAAGATCTGATAAACATGCAGAGTGCAATTACAGACGCAAGCGACCATGTATACGAAATGAACGAGAAGGAGCTTACTATTGTGTTTTAGATGAGAGATATCTTAGGTACGAGAAAATGATTTGTTTTGTTTCTGTTCTTAATCTGAAAGGCGGTGGTCTTTTGTCTCTCCATTGAGTTTAAGAAATCAATCATAGTTCTGTTCCAAGATAACATCAAACCTTAGATTGTGGCTTGACCATGGAAACACCAGAAATTTTGTCAATAAAAGATTATCTGAATTTTGCTGATTGGGTTTGTCGATATTGCTGCTTCTCACCTGAGGCAGATTAGATCTATTGCTAAGTGGGAAGCTAGTTTCACTAGGTTTTGTCTAATGAATATTGTTTGACATATTAGTTGATCCTTATGAATTTGTCCCTGATGTGCAACTTGATTACAATTGATTCCAGTTATTTCTCAAAAGTAGTTTCAATATTAAATAGTTAAGGGAAATTTTTCTCTCTCCTACAAGATTCCTAAATATTTGCAACTCTACCATAGTAACTAAAATAAATAACTAAAATAAATGCGTATGTACCTAAATCAAACATATTTAATTAGATTAATTAATGCCTAAGTAGGTTATCAAATCATTTCCTGTTATAATATTGTGCATGAGGAGCATGAGGAGAATAAAATAATATATGTGAATGACTATTTTGTCCCTGATGTAATTATATTATTACGATTGTGTCATCAGAAGTTTTCCTATAAATAGGAGCTTCAGTTATAATGAAAAGACAACCAAGAGAAAGCATTCTTTATATTCTCTCTTTTCTCTCTAGTTTTATAACACGTTATCAGCACGAGTCTCTGCCCTCTAGAGCTCGATTTATAATATGACGAGAGTATGCTCTACAGTTGCGTCTATAAGACGATCCTCTGTATCAGAAATCGAAATATACAAATCGTCATTTTCCTCAAACAATACTCCATGCCAGAAAAATCATGATTTTCCTAAATATGGAAACCAAACAAACACAAATGAGTCTTTATTAAAAAAATAAAAATTATTGTGTAGTTATATTGGCCGCAGAGATGAATTTAATCACAAGGCTCAACCTCAATTTTAAATTACCAACCAATAAGCCATTTTACAAACTTCAGCGAATCAACATCCGGTGATATGGAGTCACTTTTGTCCGCCGAAAAGATCGCCGTTGAGGCCTCGATCGGGGTCCGACCAGCAGCAGCAATAGCAATGTGGTTGACTACGGCGAATTTGCGCAGTTTTTAGAGCTCCAGCGGCTGATTTAGACCATGAACTACTAGTAGGAGATCTCGGCGTATTCATTGCTCGAGTAGGCAGTCCAGTAGATTTCCGCAGCTCAAGAGGTATCTTAGTAACAAGGTATGGAGCAAATTTAATACCTTTCTTCGAAGTATAATTTATGAAGGCTGAAATTATATAAGAAATTTTACTTTGGGCCGTGAAAACAAGAAAATAGAGGAAGAAGAAGACTAAAAAGATGGCAAAAGTTTTATTGCATCTAAATGAAAAAAAAAAAAAAAAAAAAAATAATGATGGTTAGTGAGTGTCAGCAAAGATCATGAGTAGGATAATTAATACATATGGTCCTACATATTTTAAAACAATGTCAATATTGATTGCTATAATAAATGTATTATTAAATTGTGTCCACGCACTGCACACGGACACACTATTAGAGATTTTCCAAAACCAAAACAAGAGACATAGTGATACTATTATAAACTCTTTCTCATATCCGTCAATATGAGAAGCAAACATGGTTAAAATTCATTATATCTAGTTCCATGTTAACAAGTTAAATAAGAATTTCATTTTAAGACCAATATTGATATGGTTTATTATATTATGATATGTTTAAATTGTGAAAATTATTTGATACATGAGCATGTACATATTTCATGGATATAATAGATGTAGTGCCTGAAGCATATAGTGTTCACATAAAATTGATTTATTATATTTTGATGCTCAACTTATATATTTGATAATTAGCATGAGCAGTTGATTATAATTGAACAATTATTTTTCATAATTTTCCCCAAAATGATGCGTGGAAAATTGAACATTTCCCATCTACGATTTATTATTATGCACAATCTTATATCACCACCAATTCGTACCTTTATGGGCCAATATTATAAACTAGGTATGCTATGATACTCCGTCAGATTTTTAATACCTAGAGGCCATTATATGGGGTCAATTTATTATTTGGTACGAAAATATTTAACGGCATTAGGGGGAGATATGAGCATAAAAATTTATTAATGCCGTAAAATATTTGAAATATTAATGTTTTCATTATTTGAAACCACGCAATAAAATTGAACTTGAAGTTCATATTATAATTCTGCCAAACGAAATTTATAGTAATAATGGAGTGAGCAATTTGTATATATCTAAATGTACCACAAAAGTAAAAAGAATCCCTAGGGAATGATTGTCTTCTTAATGCTAGAAGCATAATGTGATATAATTAATATATGTTTTGTGAAAGTCCGCGGAAAATGTATATTTAAGATTTAACACTCCTTTATAAAGAAACTCATGGAGAGTTGATCCAGTACATCTTGCACGTGCATCAAATCATTATAGTACTGGAAATGCGGAAAAACCAAAATTAAATGTTATGGGAAATGATTATAAATATGGCTACTAAATATGAAGTTGCACATATGGTTGAGATAATATAAATTGAATATCATAGTTGTCGACAACATAATTGCCTATGTGATATCTTTACTATCTCAAATAATGATCCGGATCAAAATAAATGTAAGTGCTGGAAGCGCTTTGATTGATTGAGATAGAAAGAAAAATAAAGGCATAATTTTCACTCGCTATACGATATATCCCAGAAGGATAGTATATCCCAGAAGGATAATGAATATTTATATGTGATATGGTGGTGTGATGTAAATATAGCGAGATTATGGGTTTACGCAGAGACCCAAAATTTTATAAAATTTCTCTCATTATCAATGATTCCGCAAGTTAATATTTATGGCAGCAACATTACCATGGCTTTGAGTCATATGTGAAAGTCCTGGATGGACTCGAGTACCCGAGATGAAAGATAATTAAATCATTTAATTATATAAAGTTGTTGATAAGATGTGGTACAACCAACAAAATTATTCCAGAAGAAGTAAAGGTAGAACTTTGTGTATAATGATAATATATAAAATTATCATCTCGGTTAAATAGATTATGTGGTGAACACTATGTAAAAAAAAAATTAAATAAGTTAGCTCATGCTTATAGACGGAGTCATAATAAAACTCTTGGTTAAATATCAAAGATTATTATCTCGACTTGAAGATCGAGCATCTCCTAGAAGGAGTATTTGTACAGATCCAAAGAAACTACAAATATTATTATTACTGAAGAACAAGTACATAAGGATCATATGATGGAAATACAGATAAGAGGTTGTGAATCCTCAATAAATATGAGAAAAATATTATATAATAGAACCCATTAAAGAAGGGTGCGTCTCGAGAGTATAAACTCCGTAACTCTGCCACCCATGATTATTATTTGGGTTCATAATGAAAGATCTAAAGGATCAAAAGCTCTTTTTCGCTTGACCCCTTGTGTTTCCACAGAATTTTGAAATGTGATGCATTCTTGAAGCTTTTTGATAAGTTCAGAAGGTGTGTCTGCAGATTTGAATACTTCTCTCGTTAAAGGAGATATAAAGGTTTGATATACTCATTCGTCTAAAAATCTAAGCAAACCATGAAAATAGTTATTAAAATTCAATAGACCTATGGGCTTATTATGAAGTTTCAATTCTGCCCAAGAAGCAATGGTAAACATTGTCATTAAAGTTCCATAACCACCTGGAAGAATGATAAAAGCATCGCTATTGTTCACCATATCCATCATACAGTCATAAATAGAACGAGTTAGCATCAAACTTGTGTAATCTTTGATGACCCTTGTTGAAGCTCTATGAAAAGGTATGATACTTTTTACTTCTATATCAAAACACTTTCCAGCCATTAAAAGGTTATCAAAGAAAGTGATGCTAGTCCCTCCATACAGTAAATTGATTTTTCGATTCCCCATCTCCCTTACTAGCTGACTTACAATATCAATATTTTGAGAAAAACTTACCAGTTTAGAACCACCAAGAACACACATGGTTTTGATCGGATGAAGAAATTTATTGCCTTGAGAAGACTCTGAAACATCCATCTATTGATAAACTAAATTTTATGAGTTATATGATTATGATGGATGACTCGCTATTTAAAAGGGATGTTTCACAAAATGATAACCGACAGATAAGGCGTTAAATCTTCAAAGAATCTTATCTGTCAGCAGCTATAAGATTTTCTGAAAATTACAGTTAAACATACTAAACTGTATTTTTCATACTAGCAAGAACAATTTTTACAAACTTGATCTTTTGAAACAATATTTTCGAGACTATAACGTTCTTCTTCATTTTTGAAACGAATCCATAGAGACATAAGCTCACGATGCACATAACCACTCGGATGTGTCTCAAGAATCTGTTGAATCGTTTGATCCATGGATTCTTTACTCAATCCATCCTTTATAAATGATATTTTATCTTCTCGATTTCTGGACACGAACCCCACAGATGTACATCGTGTGTCACAAGTCCATCGAGCGCATTTGTAGCATCCACCTAATCTTTTTGCTCTTCGTTTCTTTGCAAAAGTACTTTTACTCATACCTGGCAATATTTGTATGAATTTGGAAACTCTCCAGACAATCGAACTTTTGCTTCAATCAACCATCGAAGATTTGCAGAAATGGACCAGTTTTCAATCACCTCCTTTTTGCTGATGACACCATTATATTTTGCCAAGCAGATGTGAACCATGCCAATAGATTGATGAACTTGCTGTCTCAGTTTAAAGCCTTCACAGGCCAATCTGTCAATCTTCAGAAGTCCACTGTCTTTTTTAGTAAAAACTCTACTACTAGTACTAGGCAGGATATTTGTACAGTATTGTTAGGGAGATTACATCCCACTCTTCTTCTAGATATTTAGGATTGCCTATGGGCATAGGTAGTTCAAAGATTGAAACATTTTCTTTTGTTATTGATGCTGTTAAAAAAAAAAGTTCAAAATTGGAAAAATTGTTTCCTTTCCCAAGCAGGGAAAGAGGTTTTGCTTAAGTCTGTCCTTAATGCCCTTCCCATATATGTTATGTCATGTTTTATATTACCCAAAACTATCTGTAAAAAACTGTCTCAGCTATTTGCAAACTTTTGGTGGAAATCTAATGACCCAAACAAGAAAGGGATTTTTTGGAAAGCTTGGAAATGGTTGTCCTTGCCAAAAGAGGTGGGAGGGCTGAACTTCAAAGATCTCTTCCTCCTGAATCAAGCTCTGATTGCCAAGCAAATTTGGAGAATTTTCACAAAGCCAAACCTGCTGGTCAGCAGGATTTTGAAGGCCAAGTACTTCCCAAACACCTCAATTCTTCAAGCTAAGAAATCCAACAGTGGGTCATGGCTCTGGAATAGCTGGATGGTTGTTCAAAGCATGATGCAAAGAGGCATTCGATTTGAAGTGAAAGATGGGAAATCAATCAAAGTGTGGGAAGATCCATGGGTTCCTACATTGCCAAATTTCAGACTGAAAACTCCTTTGGGTGGCTGCGGAAACTCAATGAAAGTTAGTGAGCTCATGGATATTACTGGTAGAGGATGGAAGCATGATGTGCTACAAACTCTGTTCAATCCTCAAGAGGTGGAGGAAATTCGAAAAATCAAAAACCTTGATCCACTATCAAGGGACAGAATCTGCTGGAATTGGGATGCTAAAGGGGAATTTTCAGTAGCCTCTGTGTATAAAAAGCTAGTTTGGGAAAAGTGGGGACAATTAGACAGAGCTGAGAGCAGTGTGGAGCAACAGCGGGGAAGAAAGATTCGAAAGAAGAGCTGGTCATTGAAGATCAAAGGGAAAATTAAGCATTTCCTATGGAGATGCTACTCCCACATCCTTCCTGTCAATGGAAAACTGAAGATGAAGGGTTTGTCTGTGGATGTAATATGCAGAACTTGTGGTGAAGCCCCAGAAACCATGGAACATCTCTTCTTCCATTGTGATTATGCTCAAAAGATCTGGAAACTGGCTCCTGTCACTTGGGATGGGCTTTATGCTGATGCAAATGACTTTAGAGGCTGGTGGAACAAATTGTGCACAATGAAGCCTAGCAGAACTACAGAATCAAGACTCGAAATTACTGCATACTTGCTATGGTGGATTTGGAGATCAAGAAACCAATGGGTGTTCCAACAGAGTCTAAGGCCTGCCAAAGATGTGGTGGAAATTGCTCTCAAAGAATGGAGGGAGTTCATGGACAGAGGTTAGACCAATTTTGGGATCAACTAGGAGTTTTGAGGCTCAGTGGTTGTGTCTCATATGGTCTAAATTTGGTAAATGGACTGGTTTCATATAAATTGAGTTGAAACAGGAGTTTTGTAGGCTTTGAAATTTGGGGTTGTACTCATAATGATTTCAGGCTGTGTTGTTATAGTGCTCTTGGTTCCTTGTATGGATGAAGGGTGCGATGTTCTGACCCTTTAGGGTTTGTATTTTGATGTGATTCAGTAGGTTGGGTTGTTTAGAGCAGTATCTGTAGCTTAGTCTCTGTTGCTCTAATTGATAGGTTGTTATTTAGGACACCGTATGGGTGCTCCTCTCGGTTATGGCTAGTTAGCCATCGAACTTTGTACATTTGTTCTAGTTATGCAATCTATCGTTTCGTTAAAAAAAAAAAAAAACCATCGAATATCACTTGGAATATCATTAATCATTAGCACCCTCAATCTTTCTAATCGAGATCGATAAATTCTTTTTATGATATTCATTGGGAGAAATGAATAATATTTACAGATATTTGAGAGTGCTAAGTCCATTTGTGAATTCAGACCTTTGTTAAGGAAGATTGAATGATTTACCTGATAATTTATAGAAATTATGCGTATGCGATACGAATCTAAAAACAGAACTTAAAAGTCTTTATGTCAGAAGGCATGATACGCATTCTGAATTTAAATATTGTGTGCACTTGAAGTGCATTTATTGCCGCCGAAAGATGATGTGATATGTTTGTGATAAATATGAATTATTGTGATGTTTACCGATATAAATGATAATGGTTTGCATGATTTGTGATATGTGATGTTTTCTTCTCAATTGATGAAAATTATTACTAGCTAAATATTTGTGAATCAATATGAAAAGGGGTACGATATATGGGCCTACTACCTCTTCATATGTGCTACTAGATATTATGAATCTACTAGATAGACACATGAGTATATGATACGTAACATGAAGTTACAAGATGTTTTGAACAATGAATATGCATATGACACGTAACTGAAGTTATGAGATGATTATGAGATAATGAAAATAAGTGTCATATGAAAAAGCTAGTAATATACCCAATTGATATGATGAATTCTTGAAAGAAAATTGGGCACATTACAAGTGATATGATTTCAAAGTCCTACTATTATATATATTGAAATCGAGACCGAAACGGAGACTATGTGAACTTCTCTCAAGAAATTCAATATTGAAAATACAGATCAGTGATTTGTTAAGACGAGGGGGAAAATCAATGATTGAAATTTTGAAATATGTATTACACTGGAAGTGTGCAAATAAACTGAATGATATTGATAGAAGTGAAATATGTGAAATATTATGATGATGGAATAATACGCTGGAAGCGTTGATATTATGATATTCATGGAAATATTATTATGATGAATATATGGAATACGCGTTGTACTCTTTTTTCCTTGACTGAGGTTTTGTCCCATTGGGTTTTTCCAGCAAGGTTTTTAATGAGGCAACATAGATGGCGTATTCATATGAATAGTGTACTCTTTTTCCTTAATTAGGATTTTGTCCCACTGGGTTTTTCCTAATAAGGTTTTAACGAGGCATATTCATGGTATGATGAAATCTACTGAATAAATGATATGATTCCTCATGATGATAAAAAGATATTGGAGTAGTTGTACTCTTTTTCCTTCGATCAAGTTTTTTTCGCGTTGAGTTTTCTTGACAAGGTTTTTAATGAGGCAGCACGTGGATACTCCACTAAAGATGATATATTTGAGGGGGAGCAATGTTATGCTTCCACAATGCTCAGGTTTTGTCCCACCGGATTTTCCTGAGGAAGTAATGTTGTGATTCCAATATGATCAGATTTTGTCCCACCGGGTTTTTCCTGACATAATGAAGCAGCGATACTTGATAGCCACAAGATAAACTTCAAGATGTTCAAATTATGTTTTGTTCAAATAGTGATATTTAGAAAATAGTCATTCAAGGGGGAGTGTTATAATATTGTGCATGAGGAGCATGAGGAGAATAAAATAATATATGTGAATGACTATTTTGCCCCTGATGTAATTGTATTATTACGATTGTGCTTTCAGAAGTTTTCCTATAAATAGGAGCTTCAGTTATAATGAAAAGACAACCAAGAGAAAGCAATCACTATATTCTCTCTTTTCTCTCTAGTTTTATAACATTTCCAACTGCCCTCCCCTTATAATGGGATTAAGTTACCGTTTCATTCTGGAGAAAAAAAGGAAAAACGCTACATATTTATGCAATGCATATATAACACAAAAATAGTTTGCTTAAAATATAGAAAGATCAGATCGGGTATTTTTTTTTTACGGTCTATTTTTTTTTCTTTTGTAATTCGCATCGTGTCTTTTTTTTATGTATATTTATTGTATATTTTTTTGGTTTTTATTTTTCTTGGTTTGTATAAATGACATATGGATACAACTTTAATGATATGCTTCCATTACAGTGCTGAATGAGTCAATAATGAGTATATATACTGCTTATACCCGCAACGTATACGACTTTGATTTTTGTAGGTGAATGGGCAACGAAAACATATACTGAACATATACTATGTATACCCGCAACGTATACTGTGGATTGTGCTTTCGGGAATATATACTAAAAAATATACCGTATATAAACGCAACATATTCCACAACATAATAAATCAAACAAGAAAAAATCTGAAAAAGACTGAAACATCATCAATCATAAATCATACATGTATTAAAAAGGGATGTATTGCGTTTATATACAGTTTATAAACACAATATATCCCACAACAAATCAGTAAAACGCAATCATATCCCTAGAAACATAAACAGGACCTAATTAATTAAATTAATTAATTTGATAATTAATCCTTCCGTCTTCACTTCTTCTTCATCATCCAACAGCTCCAATCTGTCCTTGTTGGTCATCGTCGGAAGCCTCGATTTCACATTCACCTCTTGAACAGTCCCAATCTGCAAATCGCCCTGCACTATGCACCTACTCACGAACGGCTAGTACCTCTGTGGCTGATCAAATATCCTCACCAAGGACCGAACCTAAAGAAATAAAAAAAAATCAAATCCAATCCAAACCTATTTCAAAAAGGGGGAAAAAAAACCTCTCAAGTTCATCTAATTATACGCAGATCTGAATAAGAACCGACGGAAGCACGAGGGATGAGAGATTGTGTGCGATACGAACGAAACGGCGGGAGATGATCGGCGGACGTTCTCGTCCGCGAGGCGACGGTGCTTGAGCGAGGCGGAGGCGGATGCGGCGGCGCGAGGAATGGAGCTAGCTTGGGGCGGGGGTTTGGCGGATAGGAAGGAAAATCTGGAGATGGGGTTTTGGAGAGAAAGAGGACGTAGGCCATGGGTTGTTTTTACAGTGAGAGTTTAGGAGATCTTTAATTTCAATGAAGGATTTGATTAACATTTAATATGCAGAGAAAAAAAGGGAATAACGTTAATCTCAATATCAGGTAAAATTGAAAATATTCTAGCTTGACTAGGCAATGTTATAAATAAGAATATAAGGGGCATATAAGTGTAATAAAAATCATAATTGATGGTAAGGGGTGCAAATTCCTCAATAGTTAACTAGGAAAGCCTTCGCTTTAATGTGGCTATGATTGATTAATATTTGCCTTAGTATATGTGGAAGAGTAAATTTACCAAAAACATGACATGCATCTTTTTTTTTTGTTTTTTCTTCACCTGGAATAAAAGAAAAGTTTAACATGCTTAAGTTTACCAGTACTAAGTACTAATTACAGAAAATAGCAAAATTATTCGTCACAATCCAATCCAAAGATGTTAAAGTTTATCATTGCTAATATGCCACATGGCAGTTTTGCTATGAAGCCAACAATTGGCTCCATAGTGGAGCCAACCTTCTATATACACCAAGTAAATTTCTCTGATTACTTAAATAAATACTAATAATTGAGTAATATGGTATGATTTACTTGTTGTATATAGAAGGTTAGCTTCACTATGGAGCCAACTGTTGACTTCATAGCAAAACTGTATGCCATGGATAATAATTTGAACACAGAATTCTGAAACATCTATACATAGATGTTTGGAATTTTGTGTTACAAACAAACAAAATGTAAATGGCTAAGCTTGCATGCACGTAGAGATGACAATTTGACTTGGGACCCTAATTGTCCTGGACCCGATTCGAACTGGCCCGACCTGTAGTCTTTGGGATGGGGGGTGGGTTGGACCTATCCTGTTACCCAAAACGGGTCAGGTCGGGTCCGTCACGTCACTATGCGGGGTAGGTCAGGGTTTTGACCTCGAGGTATCGTGACCTCGAGATCAACCAACGACATTCACGCGAGCCCCGATGATTCACCACGCGCCCGCGTCCCAGCCGCGCCGAGTCCAGCGACCCTAGGGTGCCACCACGAGCGACCAAGTTCTTAGTAAGAAAGATGTATCCGAAATCGGCTACGATAGAAGCAGCGGAAACCTCCGCTCACGGCCCCAGCCCATAGCAGTGTCTGCCAGCACCCGCAAGATTCTCGCGGACTCTCGGCGATCGCGACCCGCAGCTGCTGCTCGTCTGTGCGACCCGCTGCCCCGTCGATGGTCCCGACGAGAAATCTGGTAGCCCAACATATTCTGAGTTCAGACGATCTCCAATAACAGAAATCTACATCTCAGAGTCTGCAATTTTAAGTCGTAAGTTTTCAACTTTAAACCTCTAGATTCGCTACGCGTAGGCTTAGTGTTGATGTATGAATTTGTGACTTGTACATAACGAGATTTTCACCAGTCCCAACAAGTGGTATCAGATCCCACAGTTAATTCGTTTTGTACAACCTCCGGCCGAACCACCCGTAGGCGAACCTCTCCCCGCCAAAATCTCCTATCGTGAAGCCATTGCGGGGGGGCCCAAACCCATCTCCTAGTGCTCCCAAGTTCAGGACCATCGAGTTGGACAACAGCATCCCAAAAGCTATTTTTTCCCTCCCCGAGAGCAACACGGTGGCCGACGATTTCTGTTTCTCCCTTGTCGGTAAATTCTCCTTTGGCCGGCCTACTAATGGCATTATTCGCTCCTATCTTGCTAATATCGGCCTTCATTGCCAAGTTCTTTATCTTAACGCCCGCCACGTTCTTCTTAGTTTTGATAATATAATGTTCTCCAAAATTATGGATAAAACAGGAAATAACCATCCAAGCTTGTCCAATGAGACTTTTCAAATGGACCCCGGATTTCGATTTTAAAATCTAGCCTACGGTCGTCCCAGTTTGGTTAAAAATCCTTGCTCTTCCCATTCACCTATTCGATATTTGTACTCTTCAAACCATTGGTTCTCTTTTCGGAGAGTTCCTTAAAGCCGACAACGCCACTCTCTCCAAATCTAGACTCAACTTCGCGCGCATTTGTGTTGGGATCAATCTTGAATCCCCCCTGCCACCCAAAATCATAGTTCAATTTGGAGAAACACAAGTGGCTCTCCAAGTAGAATATGAGAAAATGCCTAAGTATTGCCATCACTGCTATCATATAGGTCACGATGAGGCCATCTGTTATATTAAAAATAAAAGCCTCAGGCCTGCCAAACTCGACAAAGGTAAGAACAAAACCTCCCATCTCGTCATACATAAACTCCCTTCGACCTCAACTTTTCTCAATCCTGACCCTCTCATTTCTTCCCTCTAACCATCTTGTTCAGTTGATCCCCCTCTCACCACCCCACCTATCAATCCCTCCCCTTCTTCCCCCGCCACAGACAAATTCCCCCTGGCTTCACCTTCTCTCAATCATACCTCTCTCATTTCCTCCCTTTAACCCCTTAGTTCGGCGGTTAATCCCCCTCTCACCTCCCATTCGATCAACCTCTCCCCCTCAAAAGGGAAATCCATCTCCCGCCCTGATTCGGGACCAGGCAATGAGCCTAGCTCACCTAAGCCCGATCAGGTTTTAGTGGAGACATGTTCCTTCGATTCTGAGGACAATTTCTCTCTGACCCTTTCCAACTCTTTCCATGCTCTAACCTTAGAAGGTTTAGAAGCCGGCAAGGGAACCTCTGACAAGGGAACCTCACGCCCCCTTCCCCAAGCCTCGGAACCACCTCCTTCTCTCTCTACCCAGGAACCTATAATTGCCCTCCCATCTACCTCTCTCAATCAGTCAACTTCCCACTACACCTCCCCAGCGAAGAAAAATAAAGTGCGTCGAAGCACACGCCACAAAAACAAAAAATGATTAGTGCCTTCATTTGGAACATACGAGGCATAGGTGATAGCCTCGCCAAAAAGATGACCAAAACTCTCATTAAGGACCACAAACCTAATCTCCTCGCCCTCATCGAGCTGAAGATCGCCCTCGACTCCCAATACTTCTGTAGATTGTTCAATTTTCATCAAGTCGTTCAAAACACCAGCAATCACATTTGACTCTTCTGTGACCATAATTGCCAAATTCAAATTCTTCACTCCTCTCATCAACTCCTCCACGTGAAAGTCTCTTCAGCTCTTTCTCCCACTCCCTTTCTGCTTTCCATCGTCTATGGAGAACACACCCATCTCCCCCGCCAAGATCTTTGGGCGGACCTCCTCGAAGTCACCGACCATTCTCTCCCTTGGATGGTCGGAGGCGATTTTAACATCATTCTTCACCCTCATGAAAAGAAAGGTGGAGCCCCATCAGTTCAATCTGAATTGGAGCATTTTCAGGACACCCTCCTCGACTGCCATCTCTCGGACGGTGGCTACTCGGGATCCCCTTACACATGGTACAAAAACTCTATCTGGCAGAGACTTGATCGGATCCTTTTCTCTTCTTCGTGGTTCTCCTTCTTCCTGTCCTCCTCCGTCACGCATCTCGCTCGCCACCAGTCAGACCATAATGCTTTGCTTTGCAAATTTAGCCCGCTTTCTGCCAAACCTAAAGCCTCCTTCCGTTTCTAGAATATGTGGACTCGGCACCACCTTTTCCTCTAGGTAGTCAAAGACTCTTGGTCCATCCCATCCCCTTCTTTCGGCCTTAACAAACTTCTTCATAAGCTTGCCAGGCTTAAGCATGATCTTAAAGCCTGGAACAGGTCCACCTTTGGGAATGTTTTTGCCCGCGTCGCCCATGCCCAGTCTGAAGCCTCCGAAGCTGAGAACCTTTTCGATCTTGACCCTTCCCCTACCAATCTTCTTAACCTCAAGCGTCTCAACGCTATTTTAAACCTCGCCCTCTCCATGGAGGAAGAATTCTGGAAGCAGAAAACTAACCTCAAGTGGAACTTGGAAGGTGAACGTAACACCAAATTTTTCCATGAATTGGTAAAAAAGCATCACCACAAATCCTCCATTCACAGCATCACTGATGAAGGCTCTTTAATCTCGGACCCTTCCCTTCTTCAGAAATCCGCCGTTGACTTCTTCTCTACTCTCTTTTCTGATTCCAAGCCCATTCTGGATGACCTCTACCAAGGGATCATCCCTTCGATTGTCTCAAATGCCGACAACTCCTTCCTCTGTTCCTCTCCTACCATCGACGAAGTCAAGTCGGCGGTCTTCGACATCGATGACAACAGTGTAGCCGACCCAGATGGGTTTAATTCCACTTTCTATTAGACTTGCTGGGACATTATCGCAGACGATGTCTTGGATGCAGCCACTGATTTCTTTCTAGGCACCCCCTTTTCTTTGGCCTACACTGCCACCACCATATCCCTTATCCCCAAAACTCCGTCTCCTTTCTCTTGGAAAGATTTTCGGCCCATCAGCCTCTGCAACACCTCTTACAAGATCCTCTCCAAAATGCTCAGCCTTAGACTCAGCCGCCTCCTTCCCTCTTTGATTTGCCCCAAACAATCTGCCTTCATTAATGGTAAAATCATTACCGACAATATTTTGACTGCTCAAGAGGTCGTCCACGACTTCCCCGGTCTCCCTTTCTAACCTCATGATCAAAATAGATCTGGAGAAAGCCTTCGATCGGCTGAACTGGAACTTCCTTTACCTGACGCTCTCTCTCTTCGGCTTTTCCCCCAACTTCATTCACCTTATTAAAAATTGCATATCCGAATGTAGTTCTCTATCCTGATTACTGGCACCCCAGCTGGTTTCTTCCGCTCCTAAAGAGGAATTCGCCATGGAGACCCCCTATCCCCCATCCTATTCGTCCTGGCTATGGACTACCTGTCCAGAAGCCTTAACCAAACTTTCAACTCCAATCCGAACATGTATTTTGCTCAACGTAAAAAGGCCCATGTTTCCCATCTCATCTACGCGGATGATGTCCTCATCTTCTCCCAAGCATCTCACCGCAATCTTCACCTCCTTTCTCACACTCTCGAACGATTTGAAAATGTCTCTGGCCAAAGAGTCAACTCTCATAAAAGTCGTTTCCTTCTTCATAGTCCCTCTCCTCATCTTGTTAAGAATGTTCGCCGCTTAACTGGTTTCACTCAAGCCAACCTTCCTATCCAGTACTTGGGAGCTCCCCTTTGGAAGGAAAACCAGACTCGAGACCTCTATAATGACCTTCTCTACAAAATCTCTTCTCGCATTAGCTCATGGAACCACCACATCCTCTCCATTGGTGGTCGATTAGAGCTTATAAAATCCACCCTCACATCCATCTCTTTCTACTGCCTTCAGGTTCTGAAACCCTCCAGAACGTCATCCTTTCAATCGCTTCCTATGGGCCTCCAAGGATGATCGCCGTAAACTCCACTGGGCAGCTTGGCATCACCTTTGCCTTCCCATGGAAGAGGGGGTTTTGGCTGTCGTAACCTCCAGGATCTTATCCGCACCACTGAGGTCAAACTTTGGTGGCGGCTTCACTCTTCCTCTAACATTTGGACCACCCTCATTCGGTCCAAGTATTGCTCCAAACTCCACCCTATGGTGGTTAAACCTAACCCTGCAGACTCTTTCACCTGGAAGCGGCTCTGCAGCATCCATTCTACTGTAGACCCGTGGATTCACTGGCTCACCGGTGATGGTAATATTTCTTTCTGGCATGATCAATGGTGCCAATATAGCCCACTATCCTCTCTAGCCCCCCATACTCGCTCTAATCTCCTTGTCCGTGAGGTTTGGGACGAAATTGGGTGGATCCCTCTCCTCCAGACCCTTCTCCCTTCCCATGTGATTGACTCTATTACCGTCTTCCCCACCCACCACCCCTCCTCTCCTCCCATTTGGAAACTCTCCTCTAATGGTCTTTCTCCTGTAAAAGTGCTTGGCAAGCAATTCGGACCCCCCGTCCCCCTAACCCTATTTTCCGGCACATTTGGAATTCCCTCATTTCCCCTACCATCTCTACCTTCATTGTCCGCCTCCTATCCTTTTGGATCTCCACTCCAGATGGCCTATCCCAGAGGGGAATCAATGCTTCCATCTCTTGCTTCTGTTGCGGGAATATGGAATCCATTCCCCAACTTCTTCTACTCGACCCAGTTGCTTCTGCAGTGTGGGCCAATTTTCATTCTCTCGCTGTAATCCCCCAAATATATTCAGACAGCATCCAAACCATTCTCTCCCACTGTTCGGCTTCGAGACTGGCAAGTCCCATCTCTTTCACCTCATTCCTATTCTGATATTGTGGTTCCTCTGGTGCTCTCGTAATGACAAAAGAGTGAAACAAATCCCATTCACCGCTCAACGTGTCTGCGACCGAGTTTAGAAACACCTCCAACTCTTTGCCAACTCTTCGCTTCTTGAGGCGTCCTCTTCTTCCCGAGCCCCCCTCTTAAGTCACCTTCTCTCCCCCTCTTTTCGTCCCTCCCGCGCCAGAAACACCCTCATATACAGGTTATCAGATGGACCATTCCACCCGTTGGCACTCTTAAGATCAATACAGACGGAGCCTCGAAGGGAAACCCCGGAGAGGCCGGAGCAGGTGGCCAGGCCAGAGACCACAGAGGCAGACAAATTTTCGCTTTTGATGAGTATCTCGGAGTTCAGTCCAGCACCTTTGTAGAGCTTCATGCCGTTTGGAGAGCTTTAACCCTATGTCGTGAGTTGACTTTTGACCGTATCTTGATTGAGCTTGACTCTGAGGTTGTTTTATCCCTCCTAACCGCCCCGACCCCCGGAGGTGACTGGCGAGAAAGAGACATCATTCAAAAGATCAAAGCCCTAATTAACACTCTTGACGTTAGCTTCTCCCACATCTACCGTGAGGGGAACAGTGCCGCCGACTACCTCGCAGGTTCCGCCTGTCGAGCCTGAGATTTTGTACTATATGACGTTGCAGATTTACCGGTGCCCCTCAGGGGTATCATCAGGATGGATTTAGAGTATCCCATCATCAGACGCCCGCATGCAGACATGGGACCACATGGTTGACGCCCAGACTAATAGCTAGCGAGAGATTCCCCTCCCTACTCTTAGATGGCTCGATTGCACCTACTTATTTGGATTTTTTCACTCTTCTTCTCATTTTATTAGGGCCCCTCGTGTTGGAGGACCCAGTTTTACTCTTGATTTGATTGGGCTTTGTAGGGGATTAGCCACCCCATTATCGGATTACGTGAGTTAGTCACCCGGATTTGGGCTTTGTAGGGGATTTGCCCCCCCGAACCTAGGCTTTGTAGGGGATTTGCCACCCCAACCCCTTTTATTTTGATATATATATCTCCCCTTCTCTTCTTAAAAAAAAATTGAAATTTTACGGCTTTATGTGAAAACTTTTGTTCAAACACAACCATAAATTGGATTATATTAGCATAACTTGGTTTTACAATAAACAGTTCAATCCGTTGTTATGGCCGTATATGTGTTTGATTTGTGTTGTTGCTTGGGTTTTTAAAGCCTCAGACATGTCGAGGAATTTTATGGTTGAATGTTTGTAATAATAATTCGCCCGAGGAGACACTAGATAGTTTTAATTATTTGTTTAGACGAACATGTAATTCTATCTTTAGGACTAGGATCGAAATATGTAATTTTGTAAATTATATTTTTCGTGTCGTGATCATGTTCGGACAATCGAGAGATCATCGAGACCGTTGGGCCTCGACGACTTGATAGGCCTCGGATCAAGGCGACGACGGTGATCCACCGCGGGTGCGCGCAGGGCACGGCAGCTCGCTGTTAGGTTCCCCAGGCGTGCACTACCTGGCGGACGGAGCTCGCGTGCTTCTTGTAGGTACCGAAGTGCGTCGACCAGAGGACCCCGGGCGCGGCAGCGCGAGGCGCGATGAGCGAGTGCTTGCGTAGCTCAAGAGCGAGTCCTCCGACTCGTGGACAAGATAAGGGCAAGTAGCTCACCATGTCGGTGCCCGAGCTCATAGAGCTCGGAGTGAGCTCCCCAATTCTCCGTAAAGGTGCCGAAGATTACAAAGCTTGAAGAGGGTTTCCCAACCCACAACCACTTCTAAAGGGTTAGCAACTCACCCTGGCGAGGCTCATTGCCAACAAGCTCGCGGTGCTTGGGAGCAAGTTTTCCAATCCGCAGCTGGACTAATCCACTCGTTTGATTAGCAGACTGACAACCTACTTTTCGGATCTTGAGGGTCAAGCTTAGGATTGCGCAAACAATAGAGGAGGGACAATGATCAGCGACCTACATCCTAGGTTGCAAATGGTTGATACTTTACACATATAGCCAAAAAGAAGACGCGGCCTTATAGCAAGCACAAAAAGAGAATAACCATTCAAACATAATAAAACAGGAAAAATCATTTTAAATTAGGAAAATTGAAATTGAGGTTCACAGATCAACATAAATGCAATTACATGCCAAGTCAAAAATATTGTTTTTCAAGACGAAGATAACTCACCCTCCTCATAGCTCTCAACGGACAACCCGGCTTTCCCCCTACCTCCCACCAGGGATGGTTGGCGGGTAGCGATTTGTCCCCGTTCCACCTCCACCCCTCGGGATCAGGGTTGACCCTAGTTAGCTCGACATCATCCCACGAGCCATTGAAGCCTTGGGATTTTGGCTAATCCCTGGCGTGAGTCGTTACTTCTGTAAAGTACTGCTGGCAGACAGGAAAGATTCAGGTTAAAAACTGGGTATAGTGCTTGAAGTATGCCAGTAGCTCAAACCGATAATGGTCAAGGAAGCTCGCGCAGGGGATGGAGGAGAGGAAGGCGGTCTAGCCCTCCTCGCGGGCCTAGGCAACTTGTTGGTCCACCGAGAGCTGATGTTGGCTAAGCTCGGTATCTTTGACGGTCAACTGACCTTTTAGCTCATCCGACTCTTTGATCAGCTCGGCATCGAAGTGAGCTAGCTATGAGCTTCTCCGCCTCTTCTTTCTGGAGGTCGAAGGCCTCCTAGGGGCTGGAGAGCTTGGCTTTGCTCTTCTCCACACCTCCTTCTCCAGCTCGTCCATATCGGCTGAGTGCTGAGTCCCCTCAAGGGACTCGTGGAGCATGGGGGCTAGACCGAACATTGCCTATGAGGTAGATATGGTCAGCAAAGGAAGAAGGACGAGAGAGATATTTATTTGCGGAAGCTAAGTACCTGAACAAGGTGGAAGAGGGTGGCGGCGGCTCTGCTTCTTATGTTTTCCACTGGGAGTTCTCGCCCTCAGAGAAAATGAAGAGGAAGTAAGAGCTCGCGGCGTCCACATCCCAATTGCCGGCAAAAGACTTGGGTTGATCCAAGGTTGGAAGCCGAGTATGCCTCCTGGATGGCAACTATTTTTTCCTCTTTCTTCGAGGGGGTCATCCCTCTCTTGGGATCGACCTTCCGGTGCTTAGCTGAAGGTCACTTCTGGAGAGGTCACCGCGGTTTGGTTTGGGTGTTCGGGGTCTCCAAATTGACGACCTGCTGAGGCTGCTGGTCGGATGTCGGATGGGCCACCTTTGCCTGTTGGGTGGGGTCGGCAGCAACAATGTTGAACACAGCCTCTGCACAAAAAATGCATTAAGCTTAGAACATGATAAGTGTTGGATAATAGAGAGTGGAGCAAGGAAAACTGTATAAAGTGGTAGTTCGGACTCGCGGTGCCCACTGATGTCATTTATCAATTTGGCTGCACAATTAGAGAGCTTGAAGTGTAAAAGGAGTCGCAGCTTGGAGGTCAACTTCACTACATTTAGAGGTTGTTCATTCCATTGGGCGATGAGGGCACCGTACTCAGCTTAGGCTTGGCATTTTGTCGTTGGCTAGGTAGCTCGTGCAACCACTCAGGTGAAAAATCGGAGGTGTTGGGTAGAGGTCGGATAATGTAGTACTTGGATTTCCAGTGTATGCACCTTGTATTTGAATTGTTTTAGGAAGCTTGCACCATGGCGACTAGAGAGGTAATACGAGCCTTTCTAGGGTTTCATCCAAAAGCAACAAGAGCATAGGTAGGCGAGCTCGGCACAGCATAGTGAAGGCAACGAGAAGTCTAATTGAGTTAGGGGCGCAGTGGTTCAGGGGCAGACAACATATGCGGCTTAGCTCTACGAGGTCATCTCGAAGGGGCAATTTCAGGCCAGCCTTGGCCTGGTAAAGGAAAAATGTATTGTAACCTAGGGGAGGTTGGCAGTATGTATCTACGGCCTTAGGGGTTTTGAAGTCCCACCCTCGTGGCAGCTTGATCATGGAGAAGACTGGTAACATGGTCGGTTGAGTAAGAAGATATGAGGTTAGGCCTTGCTACTCTAACATAAGGAAAGACACCTTTGGCTTTCACACCAATGACCATCGTGACCTGGTAGGTCGCGTCTGGAAGAGCTGGTAGGGCTAAGGTTATCAAAGGTTCTCCTAGGGGCTCTGAGTTTGAAAGAGAAGAGGTGTTCGAGTTAGTCATGGGGGCAAGGTGTTCTAATGAGAAAATAAAAATGAAAACGTGTAAATAAATATTAAAATAGAGTGCATGCTAAGGTGATGGTGGTAAAAACAGAAGGTTGCATTTCACATACCCATGAAACTGGTCGGCATGATGATAGAGGCAATGGAGTGGTTGTTTTGAAGCCGAGGTGAGTGCCGTTGGGATTTGATCGCAGATTGCTGGAAGTGTTCTCTTTAATAGCTTGAGGACTTGAGAATTGTAAAAAGTTGGCTTGTGGTGGATGTTATGCATTTATAGGCGAGTGATGGAAGTTGTATTAGCAGAGGTGGATCTTGGTCGTCGGATTGAGAGAATGTTAGACAGTTCGGATAAAGGGAAGGTAACCCGAGAGGTTGGACGATCCAGAGCGTTCATTTTGAAATATTATCTATGGTGGAAAAACGAGGCGTATAGAGGAAGATGGAAGTTGATGGGACCGGTGTGAACTTCTAGGACAAGTTGAGTAGATGAGGTGGTGTATGCACGATATCACGCGCGAATGCCGACCTAACAATTTTTCTAACATTCTTTGGTCGTCCTGTCAGCTCACCCAAAAGAATGGGGGGATTAGATGATATAGCAAGTTAAAGTAGGTCGCACGGAAAAGTCGCTTCAGCTAAGCATGGGTCGCTGATCGGTTTGATGCCTTCGGGGTAGCTCAGGCGGCAGGCCAGCCGCTGGAAGATTGACCTTTGGATTACCTGAGGTCGACCAATGTGACTCATGGATGACAACCAGTGGGCATTGCTAGTTATCTCTGCCTAGGGGTTCGAGGTTGTACTATAGGGAGCATTCGATTTGGACGAGGAGGATTGTGGTGTGCTCGTCCTATCCTAAGGGTCAGTTTGATTGCTCAAGGGCTGAATTACAATTTGAACGTTAGGAGTATAAAATGATATGTAGCTCAGATGACTAAGGGACTTCGGAGCAGTGACGGAGAGATTGTGATGGTCGCTAAGAGTCGAGGTCAGGGTGACGACCTCGACGTGCTCAGGCTTGCAGAGGCTAAAATGACGACTTGGGACATTCAGGCCTAATATCGACCTTCGATTCTTCAGGGAGCGACGACCTTGATGGTCTTGAAAAGCTTAAGATTCGTACGTAATAGAAACTGAATCCCTTAAATATGGGAAGTGTATATTATTGAGGACTCTAAAGATTCTAGAAGATATGTTTAATTTAGAAAGATGATACGAAAAAACTTTTTACCATACCAGAAGTCCCTTGGACAACACGCAACTCAGACTATAAAAGGAGATACGTGTTATTATTTTTACACAACACACATACACGTGCAAACATACATTATTCTCACATTATTATTGAACGTGAACTTATTTGAGCGTCGAAATGTTTTCCGTCAAGATCTTTCTCGATGCCTTGCAGGTCATCGGAGGCGTAAAAAACGATTCAAATTAATAGAATGCGGTTGAGACCGGACCAGAGGATAATTTGGGCAACAGAAAACACCACAAGAATTTAGGTACAATTCATTTTTGTGCTTAAGGGTGCCGATTTGAAACGCATTTTTATCCTCCAAATTTCTGCCGTTAAAGTTGCTACGCTTCAAGTTAAAAACGTTTTTCTCTATTGAGGAGTTTTAAAATTTACAAGAAAAGAAAAACACAAACATAAATCTAATTTCTGAAATCTGATATTTCAGATCGGCGAGAGCAATGCACACGAGGTTTCGGATCACGCCGTCACGCCCCTTTCCCAAATAGCCCTAGTTCAACAGACCTGTCTGCTGGGTCGCCGCTGCCGCTGCCGCTGCCTAGTCCCTGGCTTCCGCTCACGCCGGCTGCATCCGCTTATTGTCGGTTGGGTATCAGTATTAAGGTCGTCGGCTTTCTCTCTCCTATCTCTCGCCGACACTTATCAATTTTTTCTGATTTTAGGAGTGAGCATTATAATCCAATATATATACAGTTCTTCATTATCTGTGGGTGGCTTGGACTCTCGAATCTGGACTTCACTAATTTTGCCTGATTTAAATTCTACAATATTTTATATTCTGAAATCTTGAAAAGCTAAGACTCCTTTGTATTCTAAAGCTGAATGTTTATTTATGAAGTTGAGCTGCGTGTTTTGTTATTTTCCTACAGTTAACCGAAAATAACCGAACCTAAGCCGGAAATTTTGGTTCGGTTTTGGTTTGGTTTTTGTCTTTCTTGCGGTGTGGTTTGGTTTACAATTTTCGGTTTTCGGTTTAGTTCGGTTCGGTTTTGCACCAAACTGCACTGTTGTAGATAGATATATGAAAACAAAGTAGTAGTAATATTTGAAACTGGGCTTTGAATAGTTTTGTTAGTGTGCCAGCCAAATAGAATGACCCCTTTGTATTTTACGCTGCTATTGATAAGTACAATGCTTTCAACTGGGGTTCACTGAGATGTGAGTGTTATGATGCTGTTGAGTTTAACCTTTGACCATAGGTAGGTATTCATTTGCATCATGTGGACTAGCTTAAGTTATTAATTCCAATTGCCACATGTACTCGTCATTCCCTCTGAAAAGCCTTGGTTTTGATGGTGTTTTGATTGGGGTAGTTTTTATTCTTGTCCACTTTTGAGTAACAGAACACTGATGGAGTTTGGCTTTTTTATTGCGATTTATATCACATGTTACATTTACCTTTGGATGTTACATAGTGTTATGACTTGGTTGTTTGGTACTTTGGTATCCGAAGTCGAATATTCTTATGATTCATTGAAGCTAATGTTTTATTTACTGTCGAGATCTACCAATGAAAAGGCATTAGATACATTTGATCTGACTCCCCCGGTGGGTTACGGGGAAAAGTCCTTATTTGCTTGTAAAGAAAACTAACATAATTCGACTTATTAATCTAGTGAACAGTATGTGCTTTGTCTGTAATGGATTTTATTCTTTTATGTTAGATGTCCATTTATCTTACATATAATAATCTACTCATAAATACAATTAGTATTCCAGTTGCAATATTGGCTTTGGTTCGTGATTCATTACTTTTTAACTAATTATTTAAGAGAACGTGCAAAATCATCTCGTAAAAAGAAAAAATATTTTTAGCATGTGGCATTCATGTAAAATAAATAAATATCATTCATTCATTTTGTTTGTTCAAGTTATCAATCACATTAATTACTGATACTATTTTACACAAATATTTGACTATCAATTCCTATCATTACACAGTAATGGCCCACTCAGTCACTTTTCACCTTTTTTTGGATAGGTTAAGCATATTTATAATGCTATTTTTTTATAAAAAATAAAAATAAAAAATTCAAGTTTCCAATAAACTACTTTGCTCAACTCTCATACCCAGATTGGATCCACTCGTCATTTACCGCATCCAAGTCGGCATTTTTCCGTTCTGGCCAGATTCGATCAACATCATCGTCAAATTTAGCTGTTGAGTGAGTTGAGCCGTCAACGCCATTGATTTTTTGGAGCTTTTTCAATTTTCAATCTTGGTCTGAGTTCAAAAGGCAAAGCCAAAAGGAGTCGATATGCAGACATTGGGGGAATTCAAGCTGCCCCATTTCTTCAATTACCCACCATATTTCACGTATCACCTCTTACTCAAATTTTTTCTCCAATCTCCACTATCTTAATTTTAAGTGTGGTTTCTGATTATGTGAAATTTTGTGATTGAATTCCGTGCTGGATCTTTCTTTCATTCAATTAATCACTCATCGTCTTTTTACTTGCATTTGTTTCATTTTTTTTCCTACTTCAATTTATTGTCAATTCTCTATTTTTCACGATGAAATCAGCTTACTGCTAACGTCTCTTCAAATGCAGAAGCTTGATTGGATAATGCCATGAATTATTTGTTTTGTACAATAGGATTCTTTTCCCGAGGTTTATGTTTGGGGGATGACAGAAAAAGAGTCTTGCTCCTATTTTAAGAGTTTTATATCTACTTCAAGATTCCCCAAGCCAGCTTGAAAATATGTTGGATCTAAAGCCAAGTTTGCCTAGTTTATTACAATTTTCAATGCTGAGCTGCAGTAGATTAGTTTGATCAAGTGATAGAAATGATAATTATCCGTGCAATTTCACAATCTGAGATTATTTTCGGTTCCCAATTTGAGAAAAGGATAGAGTTTATAATTCGAAAGCAGATACCGAATTTTTATCATGTTTCTAAGTGAGATGTTTGAAGTGAACTTTCTTTGCAAAAAATTTTTCCGACTGGAAAATGGTCCTGACCTTTTCAGTTTTCACCAAGAACTTGAGCATGTTGTACTTCTTATCTTAAGCTCTTATAGAACTAGTAACTTGTCAGATGAGGAACTTTTGTTTGTTGGTATATAGTGCTTTCATACTGCTGTAGTTTGCAGCCAGTTAGAGACACGAGAGAGAAGCAGATACAGCTCTGGAAGGAGCTCATACTTGATTACTCTCGGTCTCAAAAAGTTTATGTTGTCGGACTCGATGAAGATTTCCCATTGTTCACCAATCCAGTGATTGAAAGTAAATACTATTTCTCGTGATCGTATCTTTTAGATATTTCAGGTTTTTGTTGTCTTTACTGAAAGAAAATACTGAAAATTTGGATGAATAATTTAACTATGTTTAAATGTTTGAATATTTACTTTCTTGTGTTTATTCTGGGGAGTTTGGCTAGAGTTATTTAGTGGGTCTTATTAGCCTTATGTAAGAAAGCTGTAAAGTGCTTTTTCACCGTCTCAAAGTACCATAACTGATTTTGTGCGGATAATATTCCATAGTTGAGTTGCTTCTTTGTTAAAGAGAAGCCGAATACCCTGATTTTAGTTATCTTACAATTTCCTATCATTAACCATATTACTATAGTAAATGGAAGAATGGATAAAATTACTTATTATGGATGAATGTCATTCCTGATACTTTGACAAATATTCAATTTATTTATCAAGGATCAAGTTGATTTAGTCATCATTGAACATTTCTTCGAATTTCCCCTGCAGAATCTTATATTATGGTATGCTTTGTGAGTCTGATATGATGATTGGGTCTGTGATTGTGCAGGATCTCTAAGTCATGAAGCTAGGGAGGCATTTATGTCAGCCTTAGTTGCTGAAGGTTTGTTTCTATTTAGCCATTTTTGTATTTGCTGTACCGTAGTTTGTAAATAAAATGTTTTGTACACAGCAAATTTGGTGCTCAATTAGTTCAACATCACAGGACGTGCAGAATGGTATAAGAGTCACAGAAAATGTCTAATCCTTTGGCATCGGATACAAGATTGGGCTGACTTGATAATACGTTTTGTTAGTATTCCTAATTTTTCTGCAGTGTTTGATTCGTTTACAGTGTTTGATTCATGCATGATGTTCTTGTTTTTTTTTTCTTTGTCCAATTAGGTTCAAGATAATGGGCTTGAGGATAGCGTTATGACAGTTGAGGAAATACGTTCAGGGGTTGAGTCTCGAGGGACAGGTAAACTTCAGTCTGTGGAGTTTCATGCAGAGTGTACGCATTTTTCATTTTCATTTATTTTGTAGTTTATGGGTTGGTCGAAAAATCTGTGTCAAAGCTATTGGCATTTATATTAAAAAGATTTTTTACCTTTTCTCTCTCTTTCTTTCTTTCTTTTCCCTGTATGCTATTAGGCCTCACCTTGGATCATTTTTGTATTAAACCAGAAATGAATGAACATGATTTGTTGCTTCTCTCTCTCTCTCTCTCTCTCTCTCTCTCTCTCTCTCTCATACAGAGCTTCATGGGGTGGACCGTACTATACTGATGCGAGCCTTGAAACACCTAGAACACAAAGGGAAGCTTGCAATCTTCAAAGGGACTTCATCTGATGATGAAGGAATTAAATTTTCAATTTAGACACGTGTTTTTATTTCCATGAATGAATTATTGTTGTTTGAGCATGTTATGTTATATCTTTGAAAACCTCAAACTTTCATTTACGTGAATTCTGGTGACTTTATGTACATATATTATCACACAGCCATTGTTGTATCGTTTTCATGTAACTATTTCAGGCACAATGCAATGGTATGCCCTTTAGGCCTGGGGTATTTTCAAGACTAAACACTGATGAAATTCTTTAGGATAGTGTGATTCTCTGAAAAGTTGAGATTTCAGTTTGATGGTTGATTTCTTAACGCATCTGTTTGTGATGTTTTATTTGGTCAATACTTGCTTATCTGCCATAAAAAAGAAGAAATTAAACTAATTAAAAAAATATAACTCAATATGCTTGATATATCTTTTTAAGCTTGTATTTAGTATTTTGAAATTGGTACCATACCATGAATTTAAAATTTTAGACTTAAAATTGAAGGAATATATCTTCAATGCTATTTTTTTTTTTAAAATGATAGAAATCCCCCTTATATATTAATTCAGAACATGTTGAGCCTAAGTGACAGATTCGCACGTTTTGGAATTCTACATGTCGCAATATCACACTTTGTAGTTAGGTTTGGATAAAAATTTTGAAAACAAAATTGGCTTGGAAAGTGCCATAATTAATTTGTCCACCATACATTATTATCTCGCATCAATCTCTCTTCATTACCAAATTTGTTTTGAAATTCAAGATCAAACAATTCTTTCTTTCCTTATTTCATTTTACTAAGGATTTATGTCATTCATCATATTTTTCATTTTTGGTACAATTGTATTTACTTTTGTAGTAGATTTATTTATTAATTTCTTCTCATGCATTATAATAGAAAAAATAATATAAAATACGTACAAAGAGGTAAATTGAAGTATGTAGTCTACAAGTAATTATTGAATTTAAAGCTAAAGTTAGGACACATATAAATATAGCACAACATAGATAACTAAATTAAAAAATAACTTACATATTTGCACAAATCCTGTTAAGGATAGTATGGCAATTATGTTATGGCATTGGTTAGCAATATCTACTCTTACGATAGTTGGTTTATTTAAACACTAAAATCGATTAAAAACTAATAATAATGTAAACATGTTAAAATTAAGTGTAGAATTTTGTGAATAAATTGATAAATAAATATTTTTTAAATCCAGTATATCATATATTTTGGCCAGTATTTTTTGGTATGATACCGGTATAAAACTGTATTTTTGCCAAAATGACATTTAGAGGGTTACTGTACCGGTCTGTCAATCGTATCCGATATTACCGTCAATGCAAGTCGATACGGTACGCTATTTAAAATATTGTGTTTGCCTATAAACATACATGCCAATTTAATATATTTTTTAGCAAGAGTTTATGTGTGATCTTTAGTATTAGCATGTTGATTATTGCAAATTGTGGTATCAATTAATTGTATTTAGGTAATTAGCATATATAATGTCTTATTTTTATATAATTTGTTTTGATTATTGCAAGATGGTACTCAAATTGTTTCCTTAAACTTTTCTAAAAAATAATGTGACTAAAAATTATTATGTTCATGTATATCACTCTAGCGTCATTTTAAAACTAACAATGCAATTTTAAAATTTTTAAAAAATTAAAATAAATTTTTTATGTTTATCTTTAAATATTTTGATGTAAATTTTTTTTAATTCAATACCCGTGTAGTACACGGGTGTTGTACTAGTCTCCATTAAATACAAAGCAAGAGTTTACAAGCCTGATACAAACCCACAAGGGAACAAACACGCTGGGAGACACATTTGGACATTAGTCTAGACACAAACCAACTACACAACTAAAGCAAGGCCTGCACCATGGAGCCTTTAGTCGGTAATAACCTCCAACATCAAACACACACATCACTGAAACACCTGCACCCCAACCAAGAAGCTAACAGACCAAAAAGGAGATAAAATCTAAACACCTGAAAACATCCTAAACCAAATACCTGCCAACCTGAAAAATCTGCAGCCCTAACAAACATCCACATCAAAAACCGACAGACTAAAACAGACTAAAAACAAACCAAAACAAGGGACATTTCAGCAAACCAAAAGCAGATGAGAACTCCTGCCACTCTTTCCAAGTTCCTTTAGTCACCATCAAATTTGCTATTTAAATGGGTACTCTTCTAGAAATTAGTAATCATGTAGAAAACAAAAGTTATGTGTTTAATAAATATTAGTCATATTCTTATTAAAAACAAATTGCAATACTATGCTTGGCATGAAACATTACTCCTCAACACGATACTTTGGCCTCCTTTTGGGAATTGGAAAATAAAAAAGTAGGACTTTTTTTTTTTTGTGGAATAAAAGTGAAAAGCAGAATCTTAAACTGGAAAACAAGTTTTTTATCTTTTGCAGGTAAAAAAGTGTTGCTTCAGTTCCTCCGGGGAGCCCTCCCTTTGTACATAATGTCTTGCTTCTTATTGCCCAAGGATCACAGAATTGATCAACAATTTACCTCTTTTTGGTGGAGCAAAGGGAACACCAACATAAAGAACATCCATTGGAGATCTTGGAATCTTTTATCTCTGCGAAAAGACAAGGTGGGCAAGGATTCAAGGACCTCCACCTGATGAACCAAACCTTTATTTCCAAGCAAATTTGGAGAATTCTATCCAAACCAAATCTTCTGACTTTTGAGAGCATGGTATTTTCTAAAGGATAATTTCTTCACAGTCTCAATTAAGCTCAACAGCTCATGGATGTGGAACTCCTAGCTTTCTATGAGATGCTCCCTACTTTATGGTTTAAGGTACCTAATCAGGAAAGGTTAAGTCAATACGCGGGATCTCCCTTGGATTCCAAATATACCATGATGCAAACCTTCACAAAATCAACCCAGGGACAGCTCTTATACAATGGTAGAAGAACTTATTGATCCATCTGGAAGATTTTGGAATAGAGAACTGGTGTTGAGGCTATTCATAAAAGCTGAAAGTGGGTGATATTCTGAGCATCAACGACCTTGACACATTTAAAGAAGACAAGCTGATTTGGGACTATGATAACAAAGGGAACCTCTCAGTGGCCTTTGTAGTAAGCTGGATATTGCTGAAAAAAGCTCTGAGCAAGAAGAAGCAAAAGGAATGAGAAAGAGGAGCTCGAGACATAAAGTCAAAGAGAACACCAGATATATTATCTGGAGATGGGTAGGGAACCTCAATCCTATTATGTGCAATCTGGCGCCACAAAAGGAATCAATATTGACCCCAACTATAAAATATGTTGAGAAGAAGTTGATCTCAAGAACATGTTTCTTCATATTCCTGAGATCAAAGTTAATCTTGAAGCTCTCTCCTTGTGCTGTGATGGGGTAGAACTTAACAACCAGAAATTCAACTCTTGGTGGTCAAAGTTGTGCTCTACCAAAAACTCTACAACTGCTATGGATAGGTTGCAACTAATAGCTTGCTTGCTATGGGGAATATGAAAATCTAGGAATCAGATTGTATTTCAAAATTTATGGAGATCTGAACTTTCTGTGGTCTCTGCTGCTTACAGAGATTGGTCTTAGTCTACTTAGGTAGTTAGTTAGTTCCACTAGTTAGTGGTTTGTTCTTAGACGACTTGTTGCTTCTTTTTTGTTTATGTTTTTAGTTTTGTTGTATTTGCTCTTAGTAGTTGGGTTTTGTTGTCTGTTCCTTTAGAGTTGGACTCTCTTTTGTTTGATATGTGGCTAGGACCTCTAATCAGTGGTCAATGCCCTTTTGTTTTGCGTTGTAGGGATTAAGAATCAAGCTCCGATTTCAGTTGATGTTGTCTCTGCCGGTAGCAGGATCCTTAATCTCCTAATTTAGTTAGTTGGTTTTGTCTAGGGCACTCTTATTGGTGCTTCACCTTTCATGCTTATGTGGGTTGTATGGGGCTTCTTAGTCCCCATTAATTTTTAAATTTTTTCGAGTTATAATATCTGTCGTTTTGAAAAAAAAAATAAAAAATTATACATATAATATGATTTATGTGTTTTGACGGTCACCAAAATCGAGCTGAAACCGAAAATTTGAACCATCATACAAGTGCAATAGTGCAACAAAAGTTGGTCACATTTATTGGGTTGATAACAAGTGCAATAGTGCCTCTCATAGCAACTTTTGGCTTTTAAGGCAAACAAATTAACTAGAAAACTAGTCACATTAGGAGGTTAGGCATCTACAACAAAAGTTAGACAACTATTTTTTCATTAACTATACAATTATATATATATATAGGGACTGGTTCAAATAAAAACTAGTGCTGGTGTGAGAACTGTGAGAACCGTATTTGATGCTATTTTTAATTATGTATGATGTTATTTTTAATATTACATTGTGCTATTATTTTCACAAATGCTAATATAAATTGTGTTGCTATTTTTAGTCAAATACATCATGATTAAAAATAGCATTAAAACACAATCATCATAGCACTACGTACAATTAAAAATAGCGGTTCTCACGGTTCTCACACTAGCAATTGGTTCTCATTTGAACCTCATCCTATATATATATATATATATATATAGGGATTTATTCCAATGATGACACATATTTAAAATGAGTATATGAGACTCAATTGTAGCCATTAGGTAGGTATCAAGATGTGTGACCAAGATTTAATCTTATATTTTTTATTTTAATTATTCAAATATTATTTTGACCATTTGTCCACTAACCGTTGACTTCCGGCATTGACCGTTAACTTTTGGCGTTGACCCGTTGACCTTAGCATGCATTATGTATGATGTAAATATGCATTCAGTACTGTGCACATAATACGAACTAAATATGCACCAATAATATCAACTAGTATGCACTATTGATGAACTAAATATGCACTTGGTATGAACTAAATATGCATCATGAATGAACAAAATATGAATCATAAATATATCTAATTTAAATATAACAAATATGTATCTCGTATGAACTAAATATACATCATTAATGAACTAAATATGCATCATGTATATATTTAATTTAAATGCAACAAATATGCACTATAGATGAATTAAATATGCATTTCGTATGAACTATACTAGTAGGAATCCCGTGCGATGCACGGGTAAGAGATATTCATTAATATTTATAAATTAAAATTTTTCAGTAAATAATACTTATAAATTAAAAACATGAAATCAATATGTAATATAATGTACCTATAATAATTTATTGAAAATGTTATATAAATTTATATTATGCAAAATTACATAAAAATGTCTATTATAAAATTAGTACACAACCCATGCGTCGCACATAACTGATAATAAATTACATTATATTCGTTTCAAAATATGTGTCATTTCAAAATTTTTATTCAGAAATTCGATTTAACTATAACATGAGTCCATAAAATAATTATTTTGGTAAAATTTTATAATATATTTGAAAGCTTATATAAAGCTTATGTAATTAAAATAAATTTATTTTGTATAAAATATTTAAATAAAAAAATTTAAGTAGTTGAGTAAAAACAATCAGTCATAAGATTTTGTGCCAAAAAAATTGACACTTTTTATCATGCTAAAAAAAATGAACATTGCATTTCACACAAAAATTATTTGACATGTCGTAACAAAAAGTAACTTAAATCGAAACCCACTAATTATACTAAAAAAAATTGACCAGAGTTTTTCTATATAAAAATATTGTTATACGCATATTATATCAAAATATCCGTTCATATTATTTTGTGGGAGTTACAGTAAGTTATTATGTTAATTCATATAAAAAATTGAAACCCACACCTAAAAACCAATATATTGGCCTGCGCATTACAGAAAAAAGTACACCGTATATTGATTAATTTTTCAACAAATTTCATACCCAAAAAAAGTTATCCAATAACCTAAATAAATTTGTTCACTTTATTCAGGTTGGGTCGGTTCGGAGATACACAAATCTCTGTAACCGAACCGGTTCCAAAAAATCTCCGTTCTGAACTGGACCGAAATTCGGTTCGGTTCGGATATTCAGGTCTAATTAGTCGGTTCGGTATGGTTCTGAGATTTTCAAGTGCACATTATAAAATATGTCCAACACTAAACTAAGCAATTAAACATTTAATGCCTCGACTTACATGTCCCTATTCGATATTGTGAGATACGTATATGTCATATAGTATATATAAAGTTTGTTTTTAAATAATTAGGATATTTAATCTTACTAAGTTATAATTTGTTGATTTATTAATGAAATAATTGGTATATCCATTCTTATTCCAATATTATGATAAAAATATCTATCAATTTATTTTAGTTGAAAATATATAATATTTGAATAAATAATTCTCTCCAAATTTTGTGAAAGATTTAATTCATAAAGGTCGGTTTCCAAACGTTCGATTTTTAATTAATTTATAATTAATGATTATCTCACACGTTGGTTACCAAATTTTGTGATAAGAAAAGTATATTCATTTAATTTTCTTTTCAAAAAAATAGTTCGACAATGAGATCTTAGATTTAATAATGCCTCATATGCCGAATGCAGTACGAAAATAAAATAATTATTTTTTCAGTCATTAAATTCTATTGACATTGAATTGTAGATGCATATTTGCAATTCAATTTTAAATATAAATTATGATAAATTTATGGATAATTGGTCATAGACGAAATGTATATGAATTTTATTTGCAATTCAATTTTAAATACATTCATGTACAAAGATAAATATAAAGTATAAGATAAAATATTATATGTAATATGTATAAGGAATATGGATTTTATGAATTTAAATAAGTTCTTATTTGGTTCATCGGTTCAGTCCGGTTCGGTTCATTTCTCGGTCGGATATTTTATGGATCTCCAGAACCGTATAAAAAAAATTTTGGTACGGTTCGGTTCGGAGATAGTCAAACGGTCAACAAATATTTTTTGCTTTGGGGTGAATTCGGTTCGGTTTTTGGATTGGTCCGGTAATCTCTAAGTCTCGTGCCCAGCCCTAGTATGAATGAAATATGCATCGTGAATGAACAAAATATGAATCATGTATATATTTGATTTAAATGTAAGAAATATACACTATGGATGAGTTAAATATTCATTTCGTATTAACTAAATACGCATAATGAATGAACAAAATATGCATCTTGTATAAATCCAATTTAAATATAACAAATATGTATCTCGTATGAACTAAATATGCATCATGAATGAACAAAGTATGCATCTTGTATAAATCCAATTTAAATATAACAAATATGCATCTCGTATGAACTAAATATGCATTTCGTATGAAATAAATATGCATCATGAATGAACAAAATATGCATCATGTATATATTTAATTTAAATATAACAAATACGCACTATAAATTAACTAAATATGCATTTCGTATGAACTAAATATGCATCATGAATGAACAAAATATGCATCTTGTATAAATTTAATTGAAATATAACAAATATGCACTATGGATGAACTAAATATGCATTTCGTATGCATTAGTCGGTAACAATTTCTAGCCTGCCGCTGATCTCCCACTACCTCACCAACTTCATCGCCTACTGGGAATTTGATTTTTATACAGTAACAGTGCCTTGAAATGAGTTGAGGCTAGGCCGTCCCAGTGTAACATTATATGTCGAGCTCGCGTAGACAACCAAGTAATGAACTATTTTTACTTTCCGGAAAGGAGACCTACCTAAAGCCACGAGCAAGCGTACCTCCCGTATAGGTGTAACTTCATTCCCATTGAACCCATATAAGGCTTATGCACGGGATCGATCTTTAAGTCTAACTCCATTTGTTGCAGACATGGATAAAAATATGTCCACTTGGCTTCCAGTGTCTATGAACACCCGTTGAACATCATAACTTGCTACCTCAGCCGTGATGACCAACGCGTTATTATGTGGGGTAGCAATGCCTTCTAGGTTGTCTGCACCAAACTTAAGTGTGGCCTCACTCCTCTGCGCCCCTACCTCTGCTACCTGTTTAGCTATCTCCTTTCCTCGGTAGGTCCTCTTCCTCTCGTTATGCGAGTCCCTGTCTGTGGGGCCTCCAACAATCATCTGTATCACTCCTTTCTTTATTGGTCGGTCAGCTTGCTCCTTAGAACACCTCTGTTTTTTGCCTATTTCTCAATCCTCGACTCGCTCCATGTATTTTACAAAAAACTCTTTTAAAGGCCTAGCTCTAATGAGTCATTCGATTTAATCTTTTAGCTCTTTACAAAAGTTGGTCGAGTGACCATATTCTCGATGATACCTACAATACATGTCTTTTCCCGCAGGCGAAAAACATTTCCTTTGAGGTAGGGGTTTTGGTTGGGCAAGCAGTCTTGTCTTCCCCCGTCTTTCCATGATCTCAAATATTTCTCGTTGAGGTGCGCTCAGAGGCTTATAACGCTCGTATCTTTAGCCCCTTGAATCGATCCTCCGGCCTAGTTCCTTTTGTGATGGTTGGCGATCATTTTGACGAGGTTTCACTTCCGTGTGTTTTGACTTAGCCTTGTTGTTATGGAGGATATCGACTTCTGTCTCCTCCATGTTGACATACTTGTTGCACCTTTCCAAGAGTTCATCAAAAGATATCGCAGGCCTGTTAGCCAGTGAATCCCTACACTCCCAGGTCTAAGACATCGCGTGAGACCTCCGACTTTAATTTCTTATGACGTCGAAGGGACCTCCACACACTCCTTTGTATACCTCACGTTCTGGCGCAATCTTTCGCCTTCATTCTGTTGCATGTTGATTAATGAGAGGTATGTTTTCTCATGTTTCTTGGAACTTGCGAACTGGTTTATGACACTACAACATAAATGACTTTAGGTAGCAGCATTTATTGTAATACTTAGTTTATGTATCATATTATTGTAACACTTATAATATAAGTGTTACAAAAAATTAGCAAAAGTATCATACAAGTATTACCAAAAACTACCAAAAGTATTACCTTTTGACTTTAGGTAGCATAAACAAATGTAGCGCCAATATTGTGTTACCTATTGTCTATAGTAACATGTTATAGTTTTTACGCAACATTTTATAGCTTTTACGTATCATTTATTTGGTGCTACCTAAAACCATTTATGTTGTAGTAACCAAACCTCTCAAACTTGTGGATAGACCCACCTAACAACTGGTGACACCAGTCCTGCGCCGGTCCCTTTAAGGTTGTTATAAAAGCCCGACAACGAACAACGTCACAATACCTATGCAACACGACTATGTTGTCAAACGACCTCAAGTGACTTGCAGGATCTGTCGAGTCGTCATAAGATAGGCTTAATTTACGTAAGTTACTAGGTAATTCACCTTCTATGACCTCCTCTATGAATGGATGTCCGCGAGACTGAGGTGTCATCCTACCCTGCACCCAGGCCTACAATTCGTGCATCTGTGCAGCTAGTCGCTCGAGTGCAACATCTCGGGGCTACTGCAACATATTGGTTTACGACGTGACAGTCCTGGTCTTGTCACCCTTGTTACTGAGGTTGATGTTAGAGCAGTGGTTGTTGAGGTGGTGGCTGCTGTTTGGCTTTGGGTGGATCCTACCTCTTTGGTTCCTGAGCCCAGTTCACAGCTTCTGCTATTATTCTATTTAACTCCGATCTGAGGACATGTGGCAACGATGTATGCTCCGACGTCCTCCTTAGTGCGTCTCCTTTACTCCGATGCCTGTAAAACATAGTCCCGGGGTTATCCTCAGGGTTGAATCTTCCGATGCTTAAGTTATAATATGTTTAGGGTGGCGGCTCAGCTATAGAGTATGAGTAGAGGAGAGGAGAGTCTTTCCTTACCTTGACCTAAGTCGTCTTTTTTTAGAGGTCGGACGGCCTAGGTCTCCTTCTGCAGACAGAGGATTCCTCGACTAATTAGTTCGGTGGACTATGGTCCACAAAATTGGGCCACCACGGGACCTTGGGCCTAAAAGTAAGGCTTTTCGGGACGTTGGACTTGAAACTGAGGTTAGGCCTTAGCCTTGAACTTGGACACTAATGGTCTTTGAAACATACGTATCTTTATTCTACGTGTCGCCTAATAAATGTAAATTTTTTACTTGTTAAAAGTGAATATACTTAAAACAAACAATGAAAAATATAATAAAAGGTAGGTCATAATTAATTTCTTATATGTAAATTTTAATTTTTTTTCTTTCTTTAGTTTAACTGTAACTTAATTCTAACAACTATATTGGTCGAGGAACAAAAGGTAAAAGAAAAGCAAAAATAGAAGTAGATAAAGATGAACCCTACCCCCTTCAAACCAGATAAACCTTAATGTCGGACCAACATCTAACTAAAGACCGAAGAACCTGAGAGTAAAATACGATGGCTTGGGCTATATCTGCAGCAACCTCCATTCTCACTTGCTCGAGCTCATATTCAAATCTGTTGTTGCCCCTTAACTTTTGGTGCCCAGTTCAAGCTCAACCCAAGAAGCCCTGTTTTCATGCTCGTTTTTCAGTGATTTCAAGCAAAAGAAATCCTAACTTCATTTGCAGGGCTGAAAAGGAGTACAAATTCCCTGACCCAATTCCAGAATTCGCTGATTCAGTAAGTCTTAATAGTGTTTTTCATATTATTTCTCTTGACCTATAGTAGCCTTATCATTATTATTATTATTATTATTTTTTAATTTTCTCTCATGTCCAGGAGAGTGAGAAGTTTAAAAACCATTTGTTGAAGAAGTTGTCCAAGAAGGAGGATATGTTTGGGGATTCTATTGATGAAGTTGTTGGAATTTGCACTCAGGTATTCTCCTT